AAAAAAAAAAAAAAAAAAAAAAAAACTAGAGATTAGAATCTCGAATCTCGTGTACAACTAAAAACATTAAAATAAACCTACAATTGCTTAATATGGTATCCGAGCCTCGTGATTGATGAAAATTCTTAAATGGAAACCAAGCTCTAATACCATATAATGAAAATAAAGGGAAACAACGGTTGGACCGACAGTAGAACTAACAAATTACGAGCTCTTTGCTCCATGGTGAGGCATTCTAAGCTCTATCATTGGCAGGTTGTTAAGCGAGCATGCTTAGAAATTACGTTCAACATTATATCTTATTTCTATTTAGAAATATTATTGAATTTATTCGGACAATAAAATATTACTCGAAACAAATATATTTTTTAATATATAATAAAAATTTGAATTTTAAATTTTTATTTTTTTTTTGTCTCTATCTCCGCTCTAGCGGACATCTCTATCACAGTTTTTATTGAGCGTGTTGTATGACACAATACGGGTGGATTTTTAAATTATATTTGTGTTATAAAATAATAACATCTAGACGTGATGATTTTGACTTAAAATCATAATTTATTTTTCATTATTTTGTTAATCAAAATTATAATTTTTTTATTTTAGTTTCTTTATAATATTTCTTTTATACATTCTAAAAAATATATTTAAAAAGCTTTGAATTTTGAAATTAAAAAAATTATAAATTTAATATTTAAAAAATAAAATATTTATTAAATAGAATTCTAGAACTTTCCATTCAAAAATTAGAGTGATGGTTTAGACTTTCAAGCTTCATAATATTTATTATTATTATTATTATTATTATTATTTTTTTGGTAAGAGATTATGAAACAATAATTCAAAAATTCAATTAATTTAGCTCAAATAAATAATTCTTTTTAATATAAATGAAGCATGTTCATGACAATTTATTATTAATTTTTATAAATACATTATATTTATTTTATTTTAATTCAATATTATAATTATTATTTTCATTTATTATTCAACTCCATTTAAAATTAATGTTTACTGACTAATATTTTACTTTTATTAAAAACAAAAAAAAAAATTGAATTAATGATTCTATTTATTTTTTACCGCTTTGCTAGGGCGGATCGAATCGGAGTTTTCTTAGATAGTCACCGACTTACCGATCGTCTTAAACTTTCGTACTCGGTGGAGAAGACACGAACAAAGGTACGCTTGCTTCCTGTTCTCTACTACGAACTGGAATCGCTCGCCAGTTAAGTTAGATTAACTCGAACCTACCTAACTAAAAATATTTATGGTATTATTATAATGAGAGTAAAAATAAGAAATTTATAATTTAATTTTAAAAAAAATATATATATAGTGACGTGTACTTGGAACTTGTAAGGCTGTGATTCAATCCACAGTATTTCTAAATCTAACGGCATGAAATCCGCTGCGTTCTAAAGGCATCTTTTTTCCCCTTTTTTGAGCATCTTCCATTTTCAATCCCTTTGTTCTTCCTTTATATACCGCATTCAGCTCGATTAGGGTTGGTCTTGTTCGGAAAAAAGTTGGGTTCTGGATTTTACCTCTCCCTCTGGCCTCTTGATTCGCTGCTGATTCTACATTCGTCGTAAGTTGCTTGTTCGATTTTGCTTTTGATTCGTAGATTCGTTTCGCCCTGTTCTGTGATGTTGTTCTAATCTCGGATCTGGTTTTCCAGAGGAAATTTAATCGAAGATCGATGGGGAGTTCTGGATTCTCGTGGACATTGCCCGATCATCCTAAGCTTCCCAAGGATAAGACAGTGGCTCTTATTGTTTTAGATGGATGGGGTGAAGCTAATCCAGATCTCTACAATTGTATCCATGTCGCCGAAACTCCCACCATGGATTCCCTTAAGAAGGTAGGTTGATTTTATGGATTCGTTCTTATCGATTTGTGTTTTGGGGATCCATTTCGTATTTCCTGAAAAGAAATTGTGTTCGTCGAATTCATTCTTGAGGATCTTCCCGTGCATGCAGATTTTGTAGATCGCATGTGATGCATGCGTTTGATCACGAAATTCTCTGGCGTTTTTACGATTTCTATGAATATATTGATGGATTATGTTCTGCTTCTCATAGGGCGCCCCCGAGCATTGGAGGTTGCTCAGGGCACATGGTAAGGCTGTAGGACTTCCTACTGAAGATGACATGGGAAACAGTGAGGTCGGACACAACGCGCTTGGTGCTGGACGTATTTTTGCTCAAGGGTGAGCTTATCTTATCATTGTTTTAAGCTGTATACCGATTGGTCCCCTTGAGGACATCCGATAAATTAGAACGACTGTGCAATGATAACATGCACAAATGGAGAAATGGTCCAAATTTCAGGAAAAAAAAATGTTTCTAAAACAATAAGAATCTGTATAACATATCCATTGTGATTATTAGGAACCGTTCAGAGAGATCCTTGCCGGAGTATTTGACCCTTTTTTAATTTGAAAGAAAGCATGCATGGTTAAGGAAGCAAGGTTAGGCTGACCCTTGGCAAGATGTGGAGATAAGGAGTTCTTTAAATTGCGCCATGCATGTTTAAACTTAGTTATAAGCAATAGAACAGAAGAAAGAATTTGATCTTATGGCATGCCATTTTTTTTCTCCATTACTGAAACCTGAAATTAATTTGTTTTGAATGCAGTGCAAAGCTTGTTGACCTTGCTCTTGCCTCTGGAAAAATATATGAGGGAGAAGGATTCAAGTACATCAAGGAATCCTTTGCAACTGGCACTTTGCATCTTATAGGATTACTGAGTGATGGTGGAGTACACTCTAGGCTAGATCAGTTGCAGGTAAGCATAGAAATCTTCTCCAGTATGTCATAATTCAGTCTTAATATAATCTAATTTGTAAACCTTTTCCTCTTTGTAGTTGTTACTCAAAGGAGCAAGTGAGAATGGTGCTAAAAGAATCCGTGTCCATATACTTACTGATGGGCGTGATGTTTTGGATGGTTCGAGTGTAGGTTTTGTAGAGACTCTTGAAAATGACCTTGCCAAATTACGTGAGAATGGGGTTGATGCACAAGTCGCATCTGGTGGTGGTCGTATGTATGTGACTATGGATCGTTACGAGGTACATCTTTGTTCGTGTAATCTTTCTGATGGTTTGTTGTTGCTTCTTGATCGCCATAGCTGGAATCGGTTTACATTCAAAAGGGGTTTTAT